GTGATGTCACACCATCTGACCCCCCCCCCCATCCCCTCATCACACACCGACACACGATTATGGATCCTCCCTCCCCCTACGAGTGTGACGTCATTTATGGAGGACCCCAATGTCCCCACCTATGATATACATGATGACGTAAAGAAATATCATGGAACTTTTAAGTTAGTTCATATCGCGGAATAACAGAATTAAGTTGTTTTTTTAAACAATTTCACAAGTAACTACGCTAGTAATACTCATGTCAGAGATGTAGCCGCCCGACAAAGTGAAAAGCGGATTTTTTTTTACAAGGGGATGGGAGGGGGCAGTGACAGCGGCAATTTTCTCAAACACGGTAATTCGAGGCTTCTTAAACATTTCAAAGACGTTTTAACACAGTAAAAAGCAATTAGATCTAGACCCTGCTAGATGGTGTAACTAAATTATAGCAGACCTACATATTTTGTTCAATGACCCAAAACGATGCAGATCTAGTTTTTGTTTTCGCTTAAATCTAGCATTAAGCCCAATTTTAAAGATAACCACGTTAAAATTAGATAAACAGCGTTTGTAGAACTGCCTTGACCGTGAGACACGACTGTGCTCGCGCGTGGTCTCGTGTCGTAGGTCATACGGTCAGCGCGACCTTCAAGTGAGAGGTGGTAAAAAAGTGTCCGTAAAGTTGAATGAAAACAGCACAGTCATAGTCCTTCAAATTATTTTTCTTTTCTTTTGATAAATACAAAAAAGTTTTACGTCGGCGCAAAATCTTTCTTTTTTTAAGAAGACAATCGGCGATGCTAATGAGCTGGTAATGTTAGGATTTAGTTTTTTTAATTACATAGCCTAGCGGTAGCCCATTGATGACGTCACGTAATTAATGCGAATTTTACCCCAACCTCTATCGTCATAAATAACCAGACAGCCACGTCAAGAATGACATCAAAAAGTTCTGTCTACAGCCTCACCCATCTGATACAGCCAATGTGTATTTGGGCCATAGCGCACGTGAGATTGACGATTACGTCATTTGCTATTGTTTTTTATTTTATTTAACGAACGTGATAAATAGGCCTATTGGCATTAGGAAATCTTGTTGATTAATAGTTAAAAATCTAGATCTAGATCCACCACTATAATATACTGCGAGGTCACTGTAAGTTGAGATAGACCTAGAAGACCATCTAAGGTCGCAGTGACCGAAACGTCTGCTGACGAGGGGTACACAAAGAACCGTGATTGATCTAGGTTCGTAAAAACGTGTCTTCTCGCACATCTAAAACAACAGAACACAATAACTCGATAAATTATGTCTCGCTATTTATATTCTACCCGTAATTCCGCAGCTACGTTTCGCCCTTTTGTGTTTTACCCACACCGAGAAAATTTAATTTAAATAAACATAAACCTACGCTCGCATAGTTCAGGCTATTCTTTTTTTATTTAAACCTAAGGCTTATTTTCTTGAAGAAAAAATATTAGTTCTAGATGTAGGTTTAATTATAATCGAGATAATTTCCATGCGCGACCAGAATTTTAATAATTTAGGCCACGTTCAATTTTTTTCTTTACGGACATCACCGAGCAGGAGACAACAGACCACTCGCGGGGTCAATAAAGTTCACAATATAAATAGAGCCAACGACTGCCGAGATATTGTCGGGAAGGGATTGGGGGGGGGGGGGGGGTGTCGATTGTTATGATGGAAGATGGTTGAAACCATAGAACCGGATAACACAGAAATTTAACACAAGAAAAAAAAGGTCGACACTAAATCGATTTTGATGTTTACTGTGGGCTTTTGCGTAACATTTGCGGCCTAATTCCGCAACAGGGGTGTCAAAATCGAAAAATTACGGACAAAATCGTACAAGTAGGTAGGCCCTAACAGAAACACTGAATCTAGATCTAGAATCTAGTAACTCGGTCGTAAACGGAGATATCCAAAAAACGATGCATAATTTAGCCCTCGGCTATCGTTTACGTCACGATCTAGAATCTAGGTTAGGAAGAGCCTATGCAAAACTGGTCAGGTTGAGGGTTGGAAATAGTAGACTCCGAAGTTAACGCAGACCCACGGCAAAAAAAAAAAAAGCCAGACAAAGTTTAGATCCATCAGAATTGAATTTTTTTTAAAAAATTCGATTTACGCACGGTTTTCAAGGTTTACCTATAAAATTCAAGGGTTTTTGCTCATTTTTGGGGAAATTCAAGGGTTTTTCAATGCCTTGACATGTTTTTTGGAATTCAAGGGTTTTTCAAGGATTCAAGGTCCGCTACGGACCCTGTATTAAACAACGGAGCTATATTTCTAGTAGAAGAATACCGGGAAATCATAGCTTGAAGTTTGAAGCCGGCATTTCATTTTTTTCATTGTTATTGAGTACAGCCCTTTAATGCACGACTAAAAAATGTAGTTGTGCTAAACTACCATGCAAAAGTAGCCTAATAGGTCGTGTTTATTTAAATGCAGATCCTGTTAGCCTAAAAATATTTGGATACACATTTTAGTTATATCGTAATGATTAATGTTATAATACAATGCATATATTCTGGCAGTCCTTCAAGTTTTTGGACAATCCATAACTTGTATTTCAAATTTATAATGAGCGGGATGCACTCGATGTTTTAAGTGCTACATTCGGTAGCTGTTACTTTGTGCATGACAGCATCCCAATAGTTCACTGTTAATAATATAAACTGAGCTTGACAAGACTCCCATCGCCAAGCAATCGTATGATGATAGACCCAGCAAGCATCACTCGTTAAATTCGACATCATGGCTATACCAGTCCTTGATTTTCATTACAGCCTTTAAACGCCCAGTTCTTGGTTTTAAAAAAAGTGTCTCCCCCCCCCCCTCCCCGCTTGCGCTGACGTCATCATAGGCCAATACCATGTTGCGATTTTTTTTAACGGATATAACACACACACCTCTCTCCCTCACAGCAAACGCCAACAACGTCACCGAAGGCCCAAGGCCAATAACACGCACCACGGTGGATTTTTTCTTCAATGAGTATATACCCTACCCACCCGCCGCCTTACAGCATGCCGAATGTCTCTACGAACGGGGTTAAAAGTTTAACTTTGAGTTCAAGAAGGGGAGAGGGTGGTATTGGAACAAGGAAGGTGTTTCTTTAATAGTACAAATACATAGTTAAAAAATTATACTTACCGTAACTTACCTACTGCTATAGCATCATACATAATTTAATAAATTAGCAAATAAATTAATTAATTAACTAATTAAATATATCTAATGATAATAAAGGGAGATTTATTTTGGTTAAGGCAGGACACACAACACTATGCGTGCCTGGTATGTGGCCTGACCTACTGAAATTATTATTGTTTTGAGTTTATATTTAACTCAATGCAACGAGCCCGCCGGTTGGTTGAGGCCACGACGGGGGGAGGATCTGACCGGGATTCAAAGGGACGACTCGAAATAACGGAAATATCATCCTTTGTGGGTAATCTATAATATTTGACACAAATATATCACAATATACTTCTATTTAAGCCTTGACAATGAGGTAACTTTTTCGTACATTACTAGTCGCGGGCGATTTTACGTACCTAAGACGATAGATTACCCAGAGTTTTACCGGCATAGGCCTAACACTAACGACTAACAGTAACAGTAAGAAACAACACTCAGTGTAACAGACTAACAGGTTCGCAAGTTGTTCTAAATTTATCTAAAGAAAATCAAGCAAATATAGTTCTTTACATAACTAAAAACAAATATTTAACATACCTAGAATGAGCACACCGAAATTGGAGAATACAAATGTGAAAATTTGAGGTTCGTATAAATTGTTTAATAGTCACGACTAACATATAAACTAAAATGGCTGCATTCAGGTCTGTGTCTAGTTTTATATAATTATCTCCAACTGCATAATGTGCCTTAATAACGACACGCTATAAAGCAACAAATCTAGTAAGACTATTTAAGGAACGAAGCCTGCTTAAAAAAATTCAAGTCGGCTGCTGTTACGCATGCATCATATAGACTAGCAGTGTTTCTTCCAGACTTTTTTCACCGGAGGGGGGGGCACTTGAAATTTTCGGGGGTGGGGGGGGGGGGGGGCGGTAGACTTTCTTTGGGGGGGGGGGGGGGGCGGACACTGTTAAAAGTATATATTTTATATATTTTCTATATAAATTATATAAATTTCATTTCGTTGGGGGGGGGGCGGTAGAATTTTTTCGGGGGGAGGGGGGTGAAGCCGCCTGGAAGAAACTCTGTAGACTAGCTGTTATATATAGATCTATACGCCCCTGTTTGCTGCAATTGCCTTTTTTTAACCGCAACTAGTTAAAGCTGCCGCTTGACCTAATTTTTTGCCGTCGTAATGATAATGATGGCCTCCGGAAATGATTATAAAGTTGTTTTTTCCATTTTCAATAATGTTTGATAGTTACTAAAACAACTCATACGTGGAATCGTTATTTTTGTGTATTAATGATAATCAGATATTTTATTCGTGAACAAATTATACGGCTAAGGTAAATTCTAAAGTCTAAAATTGTAGAATCATTTTATAGCTATAAAATTAAGTGCACTAAATATATTCTATGTTAGCAGACAGGCAGAGTAGCCTGATGTAAATACATGATTGTATTGTCTGTTGAATTTGTTTCTGCTGTTGTGTCTTGATAGAGTTATTCACAACAACTCGCACATATGTTGGTTGCTCCCAATCTAGACGTCGTTAAGTGTTATGCATATTTGGTTTAGAAATTAACTTATATTTTTTGGAATTATGTTAAATAAGTATCCCATATATCCTACTACTAAAATTATGCAAAAGTCTCACTTCAGGTCACACATTGTTTTGTCACTAAATTACATTTTAGAATCTACACAATAGTTTTATCAACTAATATATTTTTACGATTAAAAAAACGAAAAACTAAAAAAAATAATTGATAAAGTTCAAATAATTAAAACCCCACTTTAATTACCTCCCCCCCCCCTAGTGTATGTTGGTCAACTTGTTTTGCTTTATGCTTCCATATTCGTTGCTGATGTTGTAGCGAAGATCAGCAAAGTGTTTGACCATCTCCTCCAGCTTTCTGGCAATCTGTGAATCGTGAGTCGCACAATAGAAAACACACACATCTCCTTCAGTATCGGGAGCGTCAACTTTCATTCCAGTAACTACGATATTTGGACTTTAGTCTTCATCAAACCACAACCTACATCTGGACTGTCTCGCCTCACTGTCATCAAACACCACATGTCTGGCTGTCATGACCTTAATCTCCCACCATACCTTGCTTGGTGAAGCCGAGTGGTCACATTCAGGACATGGACAAGTACGGTATTTTTTATCGTCCAACTCTTCCATTCCTTCTGAGTACATGTCCACATTGAAAACCATCCCCGTCCCTGTCCTCAACGAACTCGCCCCCCTGGTGTTGTGGGAGGGATAAGGAACTTTGGTGAGGGGGTCTAGCTCTGGTCTCGCTAGACTTGTATATTCCACGGCAACCCTGACGGTCAGGTCAGCAATAGCTCTAGTCAGTTTATACAGGTCTTCGTCACGATGTTTAGCAGGGAGATGATCAAGGGTGAAGCTCTTGACTGGGATAAAACCTTCATGACCCGGTTTTTTCTCACAAGAACTTCGGTAAACTGCTAGACTAGCCTCACTTTCACCTGCAAGACATTCTTGTACCTCGTGTGTACCTGCGACAGTAGATAATGCAAATCAACTAAAGCATTCTTTCTTGTTAAATTTATGTCAAATTTTAGACAATTGTTAAAGTACTTTGTGGAATGGTCGATAAAGTTCGAAATAGTTTACCTAAAATAACGCCTTATTCATATCCCAAACATTATTTTTATTTCATGTTTGGGCTGTTAAAGTGCACTGGCTATTAATTGCTGTCAGTATCTAGTCAATGGGAAATTTTACCTGCAAATGTGTTTGAATTTTCGGCCATTTTGCTGTTGTATTAAACCTGTGAAATATCCATTAGAAAATGTGTTTGAAAATTTGAAAGAGATTCTATCTAACGTGGTTTGTTGGTAGATTTATCTCGCTTGTGCTAGACTAACTTGTGATTACAATCTTTTGATTGAACTAAAATCAATAATGAGACACTGTGGCCCACTGTTAGATCTAGCAAAATGCGCCACCCTTAAATGGTGTATCGATCCATCTGAAATTAGAATTGATTACATTGTCCTGCAGCACACAGTTTTAATGTTAAATGTGAACTCACTGGAATGTTAAACAAAAACATTTTGCCCTTTAAATTTACCATACAATCAGTACATCTAATTACAATTTTTGTCAAAATGATGAAGTCTTCGTATTGATTATTAGTAATAATTATTGAAATGAACTGTTATGTATCATTGTATGCTTTGTTTGACAGTAAAATATATTTTGGCAAGTACAGTGATTTTACGCTGTTTTTCTTACTTTTTATACTGAAAGATTGTTCCTGTAGTGCGTAGGGAACATATTTTGATGTAATGTTTTCTTTTTAAATACGTCATACGTCTGCATTACACCTTCCTTTCATCAGCCCTTCAGTGTATTGCTCCTACACTAAGTGTATACGGAAGTGTAATACGTCACGCATGACGCCATAATGTTTGTACGGTTGGTCGGCGACGCCAGAGATCAAATAATGACTAAGGACGATGAATTAGGTCTGCTTTAAAGTACATCACGCGTCTAAAAAAAACACTGAGCGTAGAGCACAAACATTTGTTTCATAACTTTAAGGTTAATTCTTTTTAAAACTATGATTAGAAAAACGTCTACTTCTAACGACTTGAATTTATAGATTTTTAAGTTGGAACATATTACATTTTGCCATGTATTTAGGTATTTTTTCCATTCAAGATTTAGCATTTTCAGTCTCAGTTAGAACAAATTAGAAATTCTAGGAACATTAACTAGGATATAGCTATATATACACGCACACACGGCACGCATATATATATATATATATATATATATATATATATATATATATATATATATATATATATATATATATGTATATGTATATGTATATATGTGTGTGTGTGTGTGTGTGTATGTTTATATTTATCATTAACCTAAGCATTTTGGAGGTGATTGTTATAACTAAGTATTATTTTACAAATAGTTTTTACTTATATTTTCGTGTCTTTTTGAAAAAACAATGATTAGAATTAGCAGCAACCTTGATCACTATTTACTAAAATTATAAATTTCAAAGGGATGTATTGTGGTTTTTTTTTTTGGCTCGGTCAGTAATATTTTTTTTTTTTAAGTTTATGTCCTAAGAGTTGACCTCCCTTTAAATATATCATCACTCACCTCTTTATTCGGTCATCTGTATAGGTGTAGGCCGACCTTCATAAGTCTCAAGTCTAATATAGCATAGCAAAACATTAAAGTGATACTTCAGAAATAAATCTTCACATTTTATGACAAACAATCACAGGGGCAATGACATATCCAAATTTGTTCATGATATAAAAGTTGTTTCAGAAAGTGTTCCACCTTAAGGCTAATTTATTACACTGAGTACGGTCGTATGTCTATTTTCAGAGAAAATTTAGTATTAAATATAAAGTTCCGTAGCAAATCAAAAACATTTTAATAGCTTTTTTTTTCAAACCAAATCATGCTCTCAGGTCTTCTTCTTCTTCTTCGTTCTTAATTATTAGTGTTGAAGTTGATCGAGATTTATCTGCCAGTAGGTTTGAACTCGAAACTTTGTTCGAATTTATCAACCATGAGCTTTTTGCCGACTCGACTACGCCTCCAACACAATTAAGCGTTACGTGTCAACTGGTTATGCGCCATTGAGGCCATTGACTCCGATTTCAGCCTGCTTTTCTTTTTGGATTTTGCTGCCATAGCCTTTGTCCAACCAAGAACAAACTACAAGGCAGCAGTTGTTTAATTTTGGAGTTGTCTCTCCTAGAAGAGTGGCTTTCCCCAGCTTAAGAGCCTCATCTGCCCGAGGGTTCGAACTCGAGACTTTTCGGTTTAGCAACCATGAGCTTTACCGACTCGACCACGCCGACCCCTCAGGTAAATTAAATAGTTTTAGATCTAAATATAAAACATTTTTTTTTCCTTTTTCAAACTAAATGCTTTACTTATTCATATAACTAAAAAAGAAAAAAAAAGAAAAAATTCTTAGTTTACCAGCCACCAACGATTAGCCGGCCTATTGAGTAGAGACTCCACTTATAAGTTCCGTCGGAATGAGATCACGTTCAGGAAAGCTGTAAACTTGAAGTGTAGGTTCCTCTTGTAGGAGGAGGGTATAAATAGACTGGGGATTCCCGAGAAAACGGCTCTAGTCTTTATAAAACCGGATAAAACTGGTGGTGTCAAATGACGCTGGCTATGTTGTGTTGGTAGTAGACTAACACAGTCACACACACACACACATACACACACACACAAACACGAACACACACATACACACACATACACACACATACACACACATTCACATACACACACACATACACACACACAAACACGCACACACACACATACACACACACATACACACACAGATACACACACATACACACACACACACAAAAACAAGATTCCTGTACACACATGCTATACACATACATTGATGCGATACATCGCACACTTACAATACATACACATATACGATACATATACGATACAAACGCACACATACGATACATACATACATACATACGATACATACACACACAAATCCTACGCACACAAGATTCCTGTACATACAAATGATACCCACACACAAATGATACCCACACACAAATGATACCCACACACAAATGATAACTACACACAAATGATATCCACACACAAATGATACCCACACACAATAGATATCCACAAACAAATGATACCCAAACACAAATGATATCCATACACAAATGATATCCACACACAAATGATACCGACACACAAACACCACAGGACATGCATGACCACAAATATTGATTGAAAAAATAAAGAGAACCATTGAACCGTGTCCTTTACCGGGTGTTGATGTATCGATTTTCACGTAGGTGTTGCGCTGAGAGACAATACATATTTGAAATATATGTCAACACAGGGGCGTAGCGAGGGGGGGGGCGGGGGGTGCGGACCGCACCGGGTGACACCATTTAGGGGGGTGACACCAAGGCAAAAAATAGCAAAATATATAGAGAAAAACTCGAGGGGGGGGTGCAAATCGAAAGTTTGAGGGGGGGGTGCAAATCGAAAACTCAAGGGGGGAGGGTGCAAATCGAAAGTTTGAGGGGGGGGGGGGTGCAAATCGAAAATTTGAAAGTTTGTCCCTGGGAAGGGTCTCTATGCCTCTGGGGGGGTGACACCATTAAGTGCCGCACCGGGTGACACCCGACCTCGCTACGCCACTGTGTCAACATATTACTGGTTCACACTGGGAAAACCCGCATTTAGTATCCAATGGAAGACTCCACTATGTGGTTTATGTGGATTAAAGTCATGTTGAAGGCTAATCCGCTGAATAACTGAGCTTGTGAACTCAAGCGTGACTCTTCACATATAGTGAACGAAATGTCTTTTATAAGGTGTCGTTGATTATTCAAAGACTACCAAAACAAAAGTTATCTTTATGAGACTGGCGAATTTAATGTTTAGACGTCTGTTGCCACTGCATTTACTTGTAATCTTTGACTAAACTGATAGACTGTCAAATGAAGTTTTAAAAAATATTTAAAGCTCCTTTGGAGATAATATACTCACATCGCATTGTTCAGTATATTATTTTATCATCTGTTAAAATACTATGCCTTTCTCTTTAATTTTTTTCTTTTGTATGCTATCCTTCTAGTGTATTATTAGCAGTTACATCTATTTCTGAAAAAAAATATATTGACTATTTAATGTATTAGGAAAATAGTTATTTTTATGACCACTTTATCTAGATAGACCTACACGCTACAAAATTCTTAACGAAATCCAATAATCACAAAATATCATATGTTGTTAAGTTTATTACGTACACAAATTTAATTACTGAATTTTGTTAGGCATAACCCTACTTAATTAACTTAATATATGACTTAGTCTACTCTTAGTCTTATGTAGTGATCTTTAGAATTTAAAATGCAGAATAGTTGATAAAGCCAAAAGGTGTCAATTGTCATAGATGGATTAACTTACTAATCAAATTAATGTAATTATCCTAATATTTATTATAGTATGTGTATGAATTAATGATAGTTATAGTAGCCTAGTTTGAATATCAATTTTCAACTAATTCCTGAGGTGGCTAAACATAAGTAGTAGATCTTTATTGATACCTTTTTCTTTTTTTTTAATGATATATACATGACTTTTGGACTCTTTTGAAGGCCTATTGTATTTAATGACAAACTCCTTACATTAAAATATTAAAAGTAAACTATTAGACCTATATTTTTAATGAATGGTAATAGTTAAATAGCCCATACAATCCAATACATACATACACATCATTGCTTTATGATCTTTATAAGACACAAATATTTTTATTTATAACATTAAGAGTTGAAAGTATGTAAACATAATGAGTTTAATATAACAGTTATGAAATTTATTTATGTTTTTTTAGATATTGTGGATTATACAACTGCATACAGAGAAGACAAAAGTCAAGATGAAGCTCAATTTAAAAACTGATCCAAGGATACATGTTGGACCCAAGAAAACTTGTTCATATTGAACAATTAATTTTTTAATATTAGTTCTGAATGAATATGGGTATTAAAAAAAAAAGAAAATATAAACTTTGTTATGTTTATTTTTCAGCACTGGTTGTGTGTGCTGGTGTATGCAGAAACTAATTATTGCTACCTTAATTCAACAAATAACTTAAACTGGCGAACTATAAATAGTTTTTAAGAATATGGTGCTGAAGTAGATTTCACCTAGTTTTGTTGCCCTTCCATATTAATAAATTGTATGGTCAGCAAAATGTCAAACAGCTTTTACTAAGTTTTACTGTCCATAACCAGTCAGGTACCAGTTAAAGCTGCTTTGAATTTGAATCAGAGACAACCTAAAGGATTAAAATTTCAACTCAAGAACTTTTGCTTTAGCAAATATGTTCACAAATATGTAGTCCCACTATAAGTCTTACATTTGCATATATCTATCATAGATGTAAAACTTAATGATAAGGGAAGAATCAAGAATATGGGTTTTTGTCAATTATAGCCATACCAGCATATAAATGTAGACCAGGCTTAGTGAAGAATGGCTGATAACTAACTATCAACCACAAATACAACAAACTATAATCACTGCCTGTTTCCTAGTAATGTGTTGTTATTGGCTGTGCAAGTTTATGAACATGTTATAATTGTTTATACATTACAAAAGAAAAAGACTTGCTGATCAGATGCATTCCAGATATTAGAGGAAAAGATGTTTTCTATAAAGGATAGGCAGCTATAGCAAATGAGGTTAGGGGAAATGTTGAGTTAAGATAAACTATTTAATAATTGTAATGACAGAGATACCATCACAGCAACAAATGTAATTGGGTTTGTATGACTAATTAATGAATATCCTATAAATAATAGCAAAATGCTGAAGTGGTCGTCCATAAAAGACTGAGGTGGTGGGAGAGATTTGGACCTTTGTGTCAAGGGGGAGGGGGTTCAGAAAGTAAGATGACACTTCTCCATGTTCAACAAACACTCATGTTAAGAAACTGAATTTAAGCCTTTATTTGCATTATTAAAAGTTGTTTAATAAATTGTTATAAAATAATTCATCAATAGGCCTTCATTGAATGTTGGAAAAGCCCATAGGTCTAAATATTTTATGAAAATCGCTGCAACGAGGGGGGGGGGGGGGGGGGAGATCTTAGGTTTACTTTTTCGGGGAAGGGGGAGGTCTGGCATCGTTGTGACATCGTTAATAGATGACCCAATAGTCAGAGGTAGATCTAGATTGATTAGGCCTATATTAAAATGTTGATGTTAATTACGCTTTACTTATTATTACAATGAAATATAGCCTAGTAGTTTATTTATATTAAATAATATAACATCCCCTTGCACCACAACACCCTGACTATACTAATCCAAATTAAAATTAAAATGTTTGGTAAATTACTATTATATTATTAGTAATTTTGTGTTTAAATATTTCTAGCTTAGTAAAACCGGAAGTGATTTTTACTTATTTCACAAATGTTATAAAATATTCGATTTTGGTTCAAAAATATGCTTTCTCGCAACACAAAGTGGAACCACTTTTGGAACCACTTTTCCAGTCTATTGTTTTAAATAGAACACTATAATTATTGTCTTATAATGCAACTTTTTCAATATAATATGAATTAAAAAGAGATGTAAATGCCACAGCGTTGTATTGAGTTAATACAATACGCCACGCCTCAAGAGGTCTGTTCTATCGAAGCTGAAGCTTTACAATTATGTTCTGCATCAGTTGGGACCAACTGACGCTGCATCAATTCACAGTTTCCTGGCATTTTAATATTATTCCATTGTTCGTTTCATATTTCCACGCTTGCCTGCTATTTCATTACGTCAATCGCTGAAGTAAATTTATAACAATCTATTATTATATTTGTTATTTATTGCTGATTAAAAAATTAAATGCAATTTTTAATCAATAAAGAATTCCAAACTGTAAGAAGTTAGAACAATAGAAATAACTTGTATAGGTATAATGAACTTCATTACCAAGTCGGTCTGGTGGATTGAGTTTATGGCAGGATAACACATGTATGGAGATTAAGTTAATGGAACACTAGGCAACACACCGTCAATTAACTGCATCCAGTTTGATTTAACATGCATTCACTCGTAACTCAGGAGCCAATTAATGTTGACAATAATTAGTTAAAGACACTCTGGGGTAGGTTGTTGGTTTAGGTACATCGATGCTCAAGCGGCTAAGTAAAACATTTTTATCACCATGATAAATCGCTCATAGTACGCGTGGATTGAATCAAGCTATGGGTTTCTCAATTTGTGTACTGGTCTGTGCTCTCACATGTAAGTTTATCTTCATATTTTTATATGTTATATCGACAATTTGAATTATACTTTTTAAATAGCATCTGTTTGACACAACATATGATTTACAACACAGAAAAAATTGATGCGATGTTTTCAGCTTTAAATAAATTACCATGATATAGAGCTGCCAGCATCTACAAAGTAATTTTTGGTCTATAGTAACTCAATGGTATTATCGCAAGAATAAAAAAAAACTTTAAATAAAAATTTCGATTTAAGAGACCTGAGTAATTAAATATTTAATTAGCATACATCTAAATAATGTGTTTATTTCAAAGATTATAGCTGGATAATACATTTCAATCTATAACATTGCTAGCATTCTATACAGTATACACATTTTTAAGTTGAATATAACGTTTTTCGTTTACTGAAGACGCTCTGATGTGATGTTAAAATGTATGCTTCATTATAAAAGTTCACTCTGTTTACTGCGAGACAAAAACTTTCAACTACACCTTGCGAGACAAGAGTGACGTCACAATGTTACCAATGGACGGGCATCACGTGACCGATGGAGTGCTGGGCTGTGCTGTTGTGTGCTCAAACAACGAGAACGATTGCTACAACTTTATGTTTGACGAGGCCAGTCGAGGCTGTTATTTAGGTGGGTTGACATTTGGAACATTTGAGGATTTTTTGCACGTGTTGAATCCAGTCCCAGATTTACGTGTGACTCTTATATATATATATATATATATATATATATATATATATATATATATATATATATATATATATATATATATATATATATATATATCAGAGAATAAACATCCGTTTCAATACATTCAGGCAACTGGCTCCTACCCAAGGCCTCCGTCAGCCCGTCAGTCCCACAAGCCCCTGCCGGGTCAAAGCTCTACACAAGGGGCAGATACTGTGAGACACATGAGATGGTCACCCCACTCAGCTATGGCAGGATAGGATCTTGTAGCACGGCCGCTTGTCAGGGTAAACATTTTATAAACCAATATGTAATAGATGTACCACATAATATGTATTTTATATAGCTAGTATAACATATCGAATTACTTGATAAGATAATATTCAGATATTTTAGCTTAAATAATAAAAAGAGTTTTTTTTTTTAAATTTACTAAGATATAGGCCTTATATTTAAATGGGAATACATTTAAATAACCAGATCGAGGTAAAATAAAGAATGCAACAAATGTCCTGAGCGACCCAGCTATTTATAGATCGTGTGCCGACGTGAAGAACTCCACCAACCCCAGACAACTTTTACAACTGTCGTCTGGTCTTGTCGTCATGTGTGACACAGTGACAGATGGAGGGGGCTGGACAATTTTCCAACGTCGCGTCTCCGGTGTCGTGGACTTTTACCGCAACTGGGAGGAATACAAACACGGGTTCGGAGACTTCGACGCTGGAGAATTTTACCTGGGCAACGAGCATTTATATTGTCTAACTTCTAATGGATCTTACCAGTTAAGAATTGATATGACCTACAATGGAATCAAGTATTTCGCAGCGTACTCAAATTTCACAATACAATCAGAAAGCAACTTGTATAAATTGCTAGTGAGCGGTTTTAGCGGCAATGCTCTTGATGGTCTAAACACCTACCACAACAACCAATCATTCAGCACATACGACGTAGATAACGACCAGAACAGCGGGTTTAGCTGCGCTCAGCGGTATTATGGAGCTTGGTGGTACAACACTTGCTTCCAATCCAATCTAAACGGCTTGTACGGCAAGACAGAAATGGCTAAAGGACTGCTATGGTCTAGTCTTACGCGAAATGCTGCATTAGAAAACACAGAGATGAAGTTTAAAAGCGTGTAATTGATTATGGCGATACTTTCAAAATACATGCGTTTTTTTTTATCAAATAGTTGAGTCTATAAACTTTTAAGATTATAATATTAATATCGACAAGCGTAAAAGTGTTCTTTCAATTACCTGCGATATTATAAATAAGCGAGGTAGCCTGTTTAAAATTTATAATTCACTACAATATCAATTTAAAATGTGGAATAAAGAAATAACATTTACATAGTTATAACATATTGTGGATAAAATTGAAACTAAAAAGATGGATGAAAAACATTGAGATGATTCATTTTAGAATTTTTTTTTTAAAAAGATGTATTTGTTGTTAATTGCACGTCGCTACAATGATTTTCTGCTGACGTCATAAAATAAAAAATTAAATAATCAATATACGTAAAAATGTTGAAAAGAACACTTTGTGTTAGTTAAGTCCCATTTAGTAATTTTAAACATCAGGGGAATTAATAAGTATTTGTGTTAGACAAGTTTGTTAATTATCAAGAAGAATTGTGTAATAAATAAATAGAAATAAAGTTCAATATTTATAATAAAAACAATAAATATATTACAGCTCCCTTATGGAAATATGTTTTTAATATTTCCATGTGTAGGATATTAAAACTAAAATTTGTCTCCAAACTAATCGTGAAAACATTATAAGTTTTAAATATCTACCTTGTAGACATCCGAGAGGGTTTTTATAATTTTCATTGCGCGGTCCTTTTTATCTGTGTTAAATCTATGAATAAGAAAACCACATTTGTAAACCCTACACAGCTTCTTCCACTTGAACTTGTTGACAAATGTTATGAATCAAGGATCCACAGCATCATGAAGAATGACAAAGGAATAGTTGAAATTTTGCTGGGTTTTGATGACGTCACAGAATTTGAAAGTACATCAGATGCAGGAGGGTTACATAGCTGGACAAACCTTCACTCACTGGAAATAATATCACTATGCTTGTCCCTGGTGGTGAGGGTCCTGAGGTCAACATTCTTTGATTCTCGTGTGTGCAAGATTTTGTCTGTACAGTTGATTGTGTGTCAAAAACTGAGGGAACGAACAGATTTGAAAGAGAGTGAAACTGGACTTTAACCATTTTCATTATAATCATTTTGTAAAGAATGGCCTTTGTTTATGTTGGTTATTTTAAAAATAAACCAATTCTAAAAAAAAAAATTTTAAAAGTATAAGTAAACCATTTTATATCAGTCGTCAAAAGCCGATGATGAAAACTATAATACTAAAGCGAACATGCAAGGCAAACTGACGCTGTAAATTACATATCTAAGGCAAAAAAAAATGTATTTTTTATTAATCAACAGCCAATCACTAGTTAATGTATTGATTGCACGAGAAGGAAATTATTGATACTACTTCGGTTGTAGCTTTATGTCTTAGTCTGTTACATTTCAATTTTGGTCCAAAATTTATATTTATGTATATATATATATATATATATATATATATATATATATATATATATATATATATATATATATATATATATATATATATATATATATATATATATTCTCTGACAAATGTAATTTTAAAAATAAGTTGCAAACTCCTGTAGTCTTTATAACAAGCTCATGTAGATTTTGTTTAAAACAAAGTGTTAATAGTTTTATTGACACTGATAAGAAGGTAGTGATTTAAAATGTAGTTGTTAGCGTTTACGAAGTATAACGCATGATCTCTACCGCAGCTTCCATGATTAAAGAACGACATTCTATTTTAAATTTTTGACAAAGATACAACAACCAGAAGTATTGACAAAATCGTTGTTACACTTTACTGCTGTAAAAAGTTCAAACATGTGCAGCCTTGCTTATAACATGTCACATTTTTGTAGATGACAATAGGCAGCAACGTTTATACTAGTAGTTTGTGGACCATAACGATATTTGAATGTGTCGAGTAAAAGGGTATTCTATATCGTAGAACCAGGCACAGTGAAACATTATTACCGTCAATAAAGTGCATTGATCCAAAGCATGAAGCCACGCAAGTCTATGGGAGGTTGAGCTGAATTAAAGCAGTCAAGCATGACTCAAGTCAGAACGTTTACTGAAATTCCATATCACGTTGAAAGAAGCTCAACAGCCATCAAAAGACATTATTGATTGTTAAGCGAGGTTATCTCAGTACACGAATATATACAGACAACAAAATGATTTAATAGAAAGAAATGAACATTTAAAATGAAATTTACAACTCAGTCGTTTGTGTTTGGTTACTATGGTCAGCAAAGCTTTTAATTTTTCAACGCATTAGCCTATATTGTTACTAATACCGTAAATGACAATAACAAAATCAAACAACAACAACAATTCAATCACATGATAAAATAAATATAGAAACTGGAATATGGAATAACAATTCATAAACACAAGGGCTTAAAATAAACTAGAAATAAGTGTTGACGTAGCTGGACGTTAAAATGAATGATATAAGTGACCGATGATTTAGCATGAAGTTGTAAAATCGGCGTTGCCTAGCGGTGGAGCGCTAGACTGCTTACCCGATAGTTTCGAGTTCTAATTTGTGTTCAAGTTAGTTGAACGTCCATGATTCCACCCAACTCTGATGGGTACCTAACTCACGTTAGGGAAAGTAAAGGCGGCTGGGCATTGTGCTGACCACACTATCCCTTTATAGGTTATATGCCGAGGTTAAGAAACATGAACTCCACTTCATCTGCCCATTCGATCGTTAGGTCTAAAGAGGATTCTTTTTGTTTTCTTTTGTAATGAAATAGAATTTATAAGATAGATTGTAAAAAAAGTATTAAAGCGCAACTAAGGTATAAAAATTTATTTAAATGCTTCACCAAGTTGAATAAAAGGTAACCATGTTTTAAATGTCGACCGACATTGATTATGGGTATATTGAGAAGCATATCGAGAGCAACAAATGCAACGACTGAAATGAAATTTAAAAAAAAAACCACTTATTTTCTGATGTCACTAGGAACAGAATTTTCTCAATGGAAAATATTGTTGTCACAACAGTTCACAAACTCACATTAAAATCATGGGTACTCTATAATCAGAGTTGTTGTTCATAGCCTAGGATCTAGGACGACATAGAAAAACAGATATCAACTGCAAATGGAAATGTTTATATGTATCTGTAACAACATGAATTCTTTGTTGTTATTGTGAGTTCTTCAATATACTCATACGAGCAACAGTAGTTGTGAAACAATAACTTTATTTACACTTTGTACAGAGAATTAATAGATCCATAGTAAATCCATGGTCACAACTGGTATAAGTACAATCACAGTCAAGAAACAAAGTGTCGTAGTAACATCCTACATTCACAGCCACAGTCCTCAGGTTCAAGTTCTAGCACACAACACCCGTTCACCTTTTTGCTCTCCCTTTTATTCACTACTTTCTCTCTGTTATGATGTATGTTTTATAGGTATTGAATTGAGTACAGGTTGGTGCGCACACATAGTGAACACATGGGTATGATGACGCGGTACGAGAGATAGTGACGTTTTAGGTTAGAGAGTTGGTTGCTATGAGTTGATGTGTGAGCAGTTGAATCCTTATCGTCGGTGTGGAAGGACGTGTGTTGTTGTAGATACGAGATTAAAAGATTTATATACGAATTACTTGATTCATCTTATTCCTGATTGTTCGTCGTGGATCTATTTGAATGTGACATAACCTAGGGGTTCTCAAGGTGTAATACTCTCTCCCTGGTATTGGAGAGGAGTCAAATGGTAGTGGCTGAGTCAAGTAAAGTAAACCCTCTCACTGCATAACTGTGGTACGCATAGAGAACGCAGCAGTTATAACATGGTGGAGATAGCGAAACGATATATATAGCCAACGACCGTCCTATGAAGAATCTGTTTGTCTGGAAATCCGACTGGAAAGTAGAATCTATTCTGAAGTTACCCGTGTTGTGAGAACCGGTGGGAAAATATATAGGAACCAGAGAATTATCGATATAGACACCATATCGGTACAATACAATTTAACTACGGACATTTCTGATTGTTCACCGTTAGCTGAATACTCCGATGACCTCCAGTCAGCTGTGTCAGCGCAACCTTGACCGTGAACCGTTTAAAACATGGCGGCGGCAGGAAGAAACTAAAGTGATGTGTGTATAAACATTGACTCTGTATCAAGTATCAACGTGAATTACTTCATTTGTGGAAGACAACGAGAAGAACCTATGTGCCTGGACTTATTGAACTAATCAAGGGGACCTGTGTTGTGTGCCGGGACGTATTGGACAAGTCAAAGTCAAGGGGATCTGACGGATCTGTGTTTCAAGTTTCGGGACGTGTTGTACAAGCAAGACTACTCACTACTGCAAGGGGATCTGTGTGTCGGGACCTGGAGCTGTGTGAATTCGGTTTCTAAGATAAGTGCCACCATTTTCTTACTATTTAGAGTACATCTGTGGGGTGTTTTACCACATTGTTGGTTGAGCTATCATATATATTATTTATATATTAGTTGTATAATTGTATATTGTATACGTTAGGAATTGATCTAGAAATCTAGAATAGATCTGGATTCTGTGGTTAATCACAGTTAGTGAATTTAATGGTGATCTGGCTAATAGATCTAAATATTATAAGTTGAATGGTCATATAGTGTGTCATATAAATATTAAATAAGAGTGTTGTGTGTAAGAAGGTGATTTGGTCACTTCTTAAACAGGTGAATCTAGGGCTTAGATCTAGAATCTATCTAGATCTAGATTGATTTGGATCTATTGGTGGATACTTTTTGTTGGATCTAGAATGGACACAGAAGAAATTAGGAAAATGTATAAGTTAGGACAGAGTCTGGAATATAAGGGTGAAGATTTAGAGAACTGGGTAACTAGGCAAATGAAACTAGTAGAGGAGACAGCTAGTAGGGCCTATAAATGTGAAATAGCTAAACAGGAATTAGATATAGAGAAAATTAGGATTGAGGCTAATGAGCAAGCTAGAATAGAGATAGAAAAGGTAAAATTGGAATATGAAG